TTTGACCAAGTACCTTTTTCCTCTGAGCACGGAACAGCTGGCTTGCTTGTTCTCGCAATGAATCCTGGAATAACCAAGGTTACGTAGGATACACCTGACCCGGTGATGTATCCTTTTGGGCAAAAGGAATGACGCATTTGTAGGTCACATAACAAGGACTGTTGGAGTCCGACCAGGCCTTGGCGTCACGCTATGACATAATCGGCCTACCAATCTGGCATTTGGAGGACGCAGCCCATGAATCCGAACGCACCCTACAACAAACATGGCACTGCAGGAGGATGTGCTGTACTTCATCTATCACGTCTGTTTAAACCAATCCATGGTTTCTTCTTTCAAAAAGGAACAAGTGTGCAAAATAAAAGTTCTTGTGGTTTCTCTCAGCATCTACAGATATTTAATTTGTTGCTGTGATTAGCGGAAGCCAAACTTTGAAAGACAGATTGGGCACTAGATGTAATAGAGTTCTGCTAAATGTCCCCACTTTTCCCAAACAAATTTAATGGTATCAGACCTAGATTTATCTTTAAAACTAAAGCTAAGTGTTACACATTATTAACCTGGCTTTCCAAGAGCAACTGCAAGACACGCCAAGAACATGTATTGCACACTGCTTACGGTATTTCCTGAGATTTTTGCTTTCCTAATCAAGCCTGTCAGTTTCCTATACAGTATTTTTTTGTGATAAACTCCTAGATTTCCTACATTTGGAATGGATGGCAGCAAGCATGATGAGTTAGTTGGGTGTCGAGGAGTTTTTTTTCTCCAGGTTACCTTGGCCCACCTGTCAGAAGGGGGTGTGACAAAGGACTTCCTCCTGACTTCCTGCTTGGATTAGCTCTGTAAATGGTGTCTGATCCGTCCCAGAAGCACTATCAATCCTGCGCATGCGCCATCAACTCATTTGCGCATGCGTATCCAGAAATACGCCCTCATTAAAAAGACCTAAATGACATTTTTCCCTCCCCAAAAATAGTTAGCGTACTAAAATATCATGTGTTAAAGGTTAATACTGTATTTCCTGAGAAAATAAATGCCTTAAAATCTTTTGTGTTTCATCACTCGTCTCTGCCTGATCTGCACCGGAAATGGGATCCTATGCTACTTCCAGGAGCTTTTTCAGCTTTGGATTTAAACATAAATAAAGTCTTTTTGAGTTTTATGTTTTCCTTTCATGTTAAAATTATGGTATAGAGTGCATAATCTAAAGAAAGAAAAAAACAAAAATGCAGATAAACACGGTTTAATCATATATTAACAGACTGGTCTGAGTATGAACAATGATGTAAGAGAAGCAGTTTAACGAAGAAAATGTAAAAAACATAAAAATTGTCTCACAAAAGTCATAAAAAAAAATTTAAAGACGTGTAGCATTCTTTAGAGCGTTAAGGATAGAAATAAGTAATTTTAGTACCATAATTACATTATTTATGGACACCAGGATGTATATTGATTGTGCATGCGCAGGACAGATTGTGCTTCCGAAACGGATCAGGTAGTGACATTGTGCTCAAATGCACAGCTTGGTATATTAAACCGTTGTAGCGTAGCACATCAGTGCAACAACTGTCTGGGCATCAGCCCTCCAAATTTGTGTGTAGAATTCTACACTTGAGTATGATCAATTTGTTTTAAAATTTATGCAACTTTTGTGAGGAATCAAATTTGAGGAAAGAGGGGGATATTCTACTGTTTGTAATTAGGCTTCAACAAAAAAAATTAAAAGTACAATGAACATCAACAGTAATATGTATTAATGTGTGAGATCAGTCAACTGAGTTTAATATATGATACCACAATGTATCACTTATTGTTTAAAAAGGACTCTTTCTCTCCACCTTAAGCCAGGCATACACTGTACGATTTTTTTTTCCCTTTTCGTGACGATTGTTCAGTCATGCAGGAATTTTTGAATCGAGCCAAGTTTAAGCGTCATTGTGCATCATTACGTCATGTAGTATACAGGGGGTAACGAGGGGCGATTAGCCTCTTACACCCACCTGCTGATCAGGAATCATAAGGTCGGAAGGAAATCAAGTATCGGCCCTCGTGAGGTGCTTGTGGGCAAATCCTGCTGTTGAAGGACAGCTATGAACCAATTTATCAGAACCTCGCTCACTGCAAATGTGCAAACGAAGAGTTATTCTTCCAAACTGACGAGTCCGACCAGCACCATCTCTCAGCGCTGAGTCCGATGTGTGGTGTTTGGACATGCACTGTGAGCAAGTGGATCACATCAGAGCATCAGGCCGTGCAGTGTAAGAACATACATGAGCTTTAAACTTTAAACAGTGCGGTTTAGTAGTATAGCCTGAGCTGTAGCTTTGTACAACGACTGAAAATATCATACAGTTTATGCCCAGCTTTAACCAATCAAAGCCATCAGCAACTGTTTGAAAACAAGAAATTCTGACAAAGACAGACATATTTGCCTTTACAAAATATTTGGGTTATTGGAAAATGTGCTAACTATTTTAGTCTACCAAATTAACTCAACCCGTTTGGATATTTTTACCTGTAAAGGGCAAAAGATGACAGCTGGAGGCTCAATGTTGTTCATTTCAGCTGCATTTCTTATGATGGCCTCAGCTTCTTCTATTCTTCCCTGGGAGAGCAACCATCGAGGAGACTCTGGGATAAACCTACCACATTACATATTGAAGTTGACAGGGGGAGAAGCAACAACAAAGATGGATGAAAATTATTTTGGAAAAGCATTAATTGATTTTATTCAATCTGTGTACGAAATAACACACAATATTTATCATTCTATGTCAACAAAGCTGTAGTTTATGTCTAATTAGCAAGAATGGCATTTCTTTCCAAGTTTAAACCAAAACCAGATCTAGAAAAGCTGAGAATAACCCAAAACCCCCATTGCAGCATTTCTTAAAGTATAATTCAACTCATGATCCCTTTTTTCAGTTAAACCTCCATTTAGAAAACTAACCTAAACAATACTGCTAAAGCATAAGAACCTAGGAATTACTTAAGTCTTAACACCTGGGAAGCTACTGTTAACTTCATTTTTAGTTAACACAGCTAGGCCGTGTTTTTTAGATTTTAGGCTTGTTTCTCTCCCACTAGTAGCTATTGGCTATGGTATGTGCTCTCTTTCATCTATTTGAACTAGAAACCAGCTTAAAGCTTATGTTTTTGTTTTTCTTGACAGAGCTACCTATGGAACTTGTTTACTGTTACCTTCTCTAACATATAAGATATTTGTAGTCCAGAGCCTCTTTATTACCTAAATCCCCTGTCAGTCGTGGCAGAACCTAGCTTGCATAGGTTGATTCTGTTGGAGGTTTCCTGCTGTTACAATTGACATTTTCTCTGGAGTAAGCTAACTGTGAAAAACATGTGGGCTAAATACCAAATACTGAATTCATGTACTCTAACATTCATCTTCAGATTTGTATGTCAATAAAATGCAAAATGCAGCTGAATTACATGTGAGTCTGAGAAAAATGGTGGATTTTTGGTGGTGGAAAAATTGGGATTGTTTTTATTTCATAACTTGTGTTTAAATCCAAGTAGGTGTAGTGGGTAGCACAGTTGCCTTGCAGCAAGAAGGGTCCGGGTTCAATTCCTGTAGTTTGATGGAGTTTGAATTTTCTCCCTGTGCAAGGGTTCTCTCTGGGTACTCCACCTTCCTCCCACAGTCCAAAAACAGGTTAATTGGCTTCTCAAATTGTCTTTAGGTGTGAGTGTGTGCATGGTTGTATGTCTTAGTGGGTCTCTGTGTTGCCCTCTGACAGACTGGCGACCAAAAACCATTTCAAATAGAGGTCTAAAGTGTAGGATCCATATTCATTCAGCATAATGCTTTCTGATAGCTTTCGAAAAGATGGACACAGACAAGTCAACATACACCTACCTACCACCAGAGAGGCAAACATAGGCAACTTGGTAGGGTCAATACAAGAATTAGCGTCCTCCAGTCTCTGACATAGAATGCAAGCAACGGCAGAAGCATGTAGCCCAAACAAAAAAACAGGTTTGTTCCAGCCGTGGAGAAAATTGTTCGCGCACGAAAGCTTAGTATCTCCACTCCTGAAAGCAAGGTCATGAAAACAAGATTATGTCACACTGGGTTCATATCATAATGAATAATTTAAAAAACATATGAACTGATTTACCTAAAACAAATGCAACCATGTAACTTGAAATTTGACCCATCCCCACAATAAAATACAAAACACAGAAAACGGTCCAGTTTGGAGAGAAAATTTGAATGAATCTGGATACTCCCTGCAGGGCTAAGGTACCAAACAGCGCTATCTTTCTCCCAAACCTGAAATTGACAAAAACAAAAAAACACACAAGAAATGAAGTAAACAGTTTGCAATAAATGGAAAGGTAACAAAAGTGAAACGGTCTGCTACAGTTATACATTTTGAATCATTCTGTAGTAGAGGAACAAAGACATAAGTCATAATTTGTCTACTGTCACTTGCCTCGGCACTGTCACTAAAAGGAAAATATATCAGTTTAGAAATAAATTAATACGCAAAACTCTTACCTATCTTAATCTATAAACATAGAAAGTAGACATTTTTATCTTTATTTTTTCACTTCTGCAAAAGAGATCAAGGAGGTCTATTTTATATAAAATGAAGCACAAAAAAACAAACAATTTCCTTGTTTTTAAGAACAGAATTGGCTTTTCAACTTTATTACTTGGGTCTCACAATCAATGCATCCTGAGGCATTGATTTTATAATAGTTTTTTAGAATTTTGGTCCTTTACATCAGCTGGCAATGACTCATGTCTGTTTAATTTGCTCACACACCTTTCAGCTAAGACCAAATACTTTATGGGACTGAGATATAAAACATGACAGCTGTTGTCTTTAAAGATATAGTGGGGGATGTTCTTTTCCTGGTGCATCATCAAAATAGGTCGTCCTCCTAATTGCCAGTCATTCTGGTGATATGTTTATGTAAGGCAATCCTACGTGCTTGTCCGCATTTTCACTTACCGGTGGTGAGTCTAAAATAGTGATAAAATTGCAAATCTTCTCTTGGAAAGTAAGTCTGAATGACCAATGCAAAGAGCAACTTTTAAACAGAGGGTGAAATGGGCTCCTGCATGCTATCGCCTTCGTTTAATAGGTGTTCCCTTTCGGGAGAGGGTACAGGGTTGTGCATGTGCTTTTTTTTTTTAAGTGGAGATGGCGGGTACTTTCAAAAATTTGCAAAAATCCTCCACTATACTTTTAAGATGCTTTGTAACTATTACTAATTTGGCAAGAAGCTTGCTGCTGTCCTGAGATGTAGCTTTAGTATTTTCACCTTAGCTTATTTTCTAATAATGTAATTTTTATTTATAAATTGCAGCAGTCCTTCCTGCAACAAAACAGTTTTATTTCAATTTTATATTGCTTTTGTAGTTACTTCTTCTTCCTCTCTGAGTGTTGTACAGGTTCACGTCTGTGCATAACTCATCAATGACACTCTTAACAGCTTCATAGGCAGTTTCTTTACAAGACGCTTTTTTTGCTTTTGTTCATTTTACACCAAAACCTTACAGACTGAACTCTCATTTTCCTGATTGGTACAATTGTGTTTTGGAATTTTATTCAAAATTCAACTATAGTCGTCTACAAAATGGTTGATGCAGACTTACTGAGGTCCACTCTTATCTTCCTGCCATCCTAATAGATCTGTCATGCAAGCAGAAATTTGACCTAGATGTTCCCTGATTGAATACCCTAGTGATTGATTAACAGCAGGACATCTTGTCTTGTCTATCTTAGACAGACAGCCGGGTCCTAAAGGTTGAGTAAACGTGCACATAATATAATTATTTTAGCTTGATGGTAATCTCACGAATGCACTGATCAGGCTTTTCCTGAATTTGATTTTCGTAAAACGTCTAAACAGCAGAATCAAATTTTGACCATTTAAATATCTAGTAAGTTATTTTCAAAGGACTTCAGGAATCAGATCATGTAGCCCTCTCTCTCAAAAACTAAGAAAATCAAGTCCACAACCTGTCAGAGAGCTGTCCTGAAATGGAGGAGCCAGTGAGAACACCACAGAAGAAGATAGAAGATGTCAGTGGAGTCTTCCAGCTGTCATCACACACCAGGTTCCACTGCGTAAAAAAGAAAAGAAAATGCAGAAAGTAAAACACAATTTAAAAGCAAACACCAAAATTCAAGCATGATTATCAATAAATGTAAAAGAATGGAGCATCACAGACAAATACTATATGTGAAAAATGCCACAATACTGACTCGTGTCCTCACAGACATTTTTAACACCTCACAAGACCAATCTACAGTGCAAGTATGCTCCAAAAAGGCCTCAGGTCCCCGCACTCAACGACTACCGGCCTGTCGCACTGACTCCTATCACGATGAAATGCTTCAAAAGGCTGGTTAAAGAACACATCGTCTCCAGTCTTCCACCCAGCATTCGATCTGTTCCAGATCGCCATCTCCACTTGAGCCTAGCACACCTAGAAAAACGTACCCATGTACGGATACTGTTCCTGGACTTCAGTTCAGCTTTCATCCCACAGCATCTGATGGGCAAACTGCTGAACTTCAATATACCCCTGTGCAATTGGCCAATGGACTTCCTCACCAACAGACCTAGGTCAGTCTGGGTTGGACAGAACACCTCTGATGTCATCACCCTAAGCACATGCTCCCTTCAGGGCTGCATCCTGAGCCCCCTGCTGTTCATCCTGATGACATATGACTGCATCCCCAGGTTCACCACCAATCACATCGTCAAGTTTGCAGACAACACTACATTGGTGGGCCCCATCAGAGACGGCAGTAACAGGTGGAGCAGCTGGTGGACTGGTGCAGAGACAACAGCCTGATCCTGAATGTGGAGAAAATCATGGAGATCATCACCAGCCCAACCACGCTTGACTGCTTCTCAACAGCTCAGTTGTAGAGATGATTAGCAGCACCAAATTCCTGGGGGTGCACATCACACACAACCTCACCTGGACTATAAACACCACCTCACTGATCAAAAGGGCACAAAAGCGCATGTACTTCCTGCGGAGGATGAGGAGAGCCCACCTGCCCCCACCCATCCTCACCACATCCTACAGATGCACCAAAGAGAGCGTTCTGACCAGCTGTCTCACTGTGTGGTGTGGAGGCTGCAGCACCTCAGACTGGAAGAAGGTGAGAGGAGTAGGTAGAACTGCAGAGAAGGTCCTCGTGGCTCCTCTTCCCTCCATAAAATACATTTCATCCCAGTGCTGCATGTCCCGGGCCCGTAACACTATCAATGATCCCTCACACTCCCACCATGGACTGTTGTCCCTGCCGCCGTCTGGGAAGATGCTTCACAGCATTCAATGCAGGTCCACCAGATTCCAAAACAACTTCTTCCCCACCTCCATCAGACAGCTGAATGTTGAAAAAACTCGAAATCATGTCAGACTCTGCATTAAAATGACATTATCAATGCATTTTTTGCACCATGTTTTTTCTCTCACAATGTTTAGAGCTGTACAAAACAAAATTTCATAATTCAACTCTAAACACAATAAATAAATAGCTTATCAAATAATTATACAAATGTAACTTTAATTTATTTACACTAGGAATAAATGCCTAATATATTGAATAAATATTTTATTAAATATATGGACTTTTTTATCTAAAGAAGTGATTATAATTATTTCATAATTTAATTAATCCTAAACCAAAGCCCACCCATCTAATATGAGAAAAAAAAGTCCTTGGACAATAAAGTAAAAAAAAAAAAAAAAGACAAAATTGGTAATATTATGAGAAAAACATCATCTTATGAGAATTAAGGAGAAAAAACGTCAGAGCAGTCACAGTTTGCAGAACTATTTCATTCCTGGAGTAATGGGGCCAGGTTAGATTGTTTTAATTATTTTTATTCTTTTTGAGAATAAAGTCAGGAGAATGAAGACAAAGGGATACGAATATAAACTATATTACAAAAATAAAAATATTACAAATATAAAGTATATTCTGAGATTAAAGTCTCTCTGATTAAGTGTATAACAGCAGATTTACCACATTGAACATGGCGGACACTGTGACTCATTCGCAGCATAGGCAGACCCCACCCAAGAGGTGTCTACTGTATGTATATAATGTTTATGGTCACAAATGCATCAAATTCAAAATGCCAGGACTTTCCTCATGACTGTAGAGTAAGAGAAAACCAGAAGGAAGTTTTCTTGTCTTGCTAAGTATGGAAGCAAATTGTTACCATATTTCAAATGAAAAAGCATTTTCATTTTAACAATGTGGCTGCATTGTTTGACTCATAAATTAAGTTAGTAACCAATAATCCTGTTTGCATTTTCATTTTCTTCTTTAACACTGCTCATCCTTTTACTTAATTAAAATGAGAAACAAAAATACACTTGAGATTTATTTTTCAAAATGTACCCCAGCAAATACATACCAAAATTCAATTTGAAATGTAAAATGTGAAAATGAAAAAGCATTTCCAGAAATACTTTTTCATTTTAAGAATGTGGCTGCAATATTTGACTCATAAATTAAATTAGTAATCAATCATCCAATTTGTATTTTCATTTTCTTCTTTAAGACTGCACATTTTATGCCATAATCAAAGAGAACACACAGCGGACATTGCTTTTTCGTTTTCGTGGTCTGCCAGTAAAGTACTGTCCATAACTCGAAAATGAAAAAGCATTCTGAGCGGTGGGCGCTGCAGCCGCTCTTCCTCAGATCCTTGCTGACCGGGCTACCCATCTACGCAAACAGCCTTGGTCCCGCCTCTTTGGCTTTGATGGATGTGAGAAGCAGCCAATCACATCAGGGTTTCTAGTCCTGCCTCTTTGTTTTTGATGGATGTGTGACAGTTTATATTATGTCATCTGTGCTTCGGTGCAGGATTATGAATTCATTTATTAAATCAGGAATTTATATTTGCTAAATAAAATTAAATCCGAAATTTTCTAAATAATTAGATAGCATAATTTCAACTTACAATATTTATTTAATAAGTATTGTATATGTATTAAATAAATATACTAATAACATCTTATTTCCATTTTCAAAAATTTTTTTGACAGTTTTATTATTAAGTTATTTAATTATTGATTTTTGACACTCCTTGCCCTCCATATAAGGTACCCAAAGCATTTTTACTTTTGTTAGTTTTTGAATTTATCTTTTTTTTTAACCATAACAAAAATGGTTTTAATACTTCATACATGACCTTATCAAATGGATAAGGGGATAATGTTAACCAGAAGGTTTTAAGTTAAACCAACCTCAGTCACAATAGTAGATGTATACACGCTGTGGTCAAACTCCCATCCGTCCAAGCAGCCTTCTTTCGGCACATTAGACAGATTAACGTCCACTCCAGGTAGCAAACCTGTTTCTGAATAGTTCAGCAAATGCTCCAATTTGTATCTGAAGCACTTGCTGGGCACCAGATCCCCGCCGCGGCTCGCATCCTCCTCCAGCGGGATGCTGCTGTTTCTCCACGCAGCGCTGAGGTTCAGGTGCGCAGGCAGCATGCAGCGGTGCGCCGGCGTGTCCGCCCAAAAAACGATGGAGAGACCAGTCAATCCATTAGGGATGACGCTCAGGCACAGGAGGAAAAACACGCGCTGCTGGAAACGTCCCCATTCTCCAAGGAAGGAAGTGTCCGCTTCATAATCAGCAACTTTGTTTGCTGCAGAGGGCTCTGAGAGCATGATTACAGTAAGGAATCAGGAATGAAAGAGCTCAGATTGAGGATTTTCTGAAGCTTTAGTTGTGTTTCAGAAAAAAAAAAATCAATCCCTCCCTCCTCTTTGAAGGAGTGTGATTTTTACTTCTTTCTGAACAGACATCTGCCAAACTCTAACCCATCACTGTAAATCTTCCAATTATTAACCCACCTCACAAACATACAGTTGTTCATAAGTAGCCAATCATAGCCTATTGTAATTCACTGTTACATCATCATGGAAGCATTGTAAAATCAATTTATTGTTACTGTGAAAAACATCTTTTGAACTTATGGCATTTGCTTTACTGTATTGTGCAATATTTAGCTTGGAGGCTTTGTTTATTTTAAGGTGAACAAAAAAAGATCAGTTTAACAGGTAAATGCTACCTGATTATTTTAATTTCACTCATAATATCCATATTTTCTTCACATTTACAGGAATTTAGCCCTTGATTTTATCTTAATAAGTATTTAATCCCCCAGACTGTGTGTTATGTATTCTAAAAATTGGTTTTAATACATAACTTTTTGTTCATATCAGAAAGTGACAGATTTCACCATATATGTAGGGTTATCTTTCAAGCTGGTTATGATTTATGAGAACACTTTAAAATTTAGCCTTGCCGTTTTTAATGACTGACAGAAAAACAGAAGATACTATCCTCCCTCTGGGCTATTCACTCAGCTGGTACAGAGTTCATATAAAGACAGCGAGGAAAAGACAGAAGGAAGTTCATCAAGCCTATCATTTACCTTTGAGCCTACTGGTTTTCTAAAGAGCAACAGAACAGGAGGACTCCCAGAGTTTGTTGCAATCAACAAAGAGAAACATTAACATTACAAAGGCAAATTGGTATTTTGACTGCTTGCGTTTTGTAATCATTAGACAAAGAAAAACTGTAGCCTTAAGATAAGAAGAGGCACAGTGTTATTGAATTTACAGGTTTCCAGGAAAACATTCCCAAAGAAGAAGACATAGATTAGACTCTTCTGTAAATTGTATTTAAACGAGGTTTGATGCAAATTTACATTAGTTAAATGCATTTGATTTATTTTCGTCAAATGCATTTTTGCGGAAATTTTGTGTTCTCAAACTGAGTATTTAAAATGATTATACCATGTAAACCAAATTCAGTACTCTGCCTTATGAGAGCCAACTCAGTCATTTAAGAGAAAAAAGCTAAATAAACAGAACTTTTCAGCCTTTGCAAAACTTATTTAATTATCATTCAAAATCTAAATGTTGTCTTATGTCCAGTTAATGTAAAATTGTAGATGAAAAGAAAAAGACTAAAAAAAAAACACATGTATGCTGCTATTTTAATGTGAAGAAACTGTAGTGGGGTTTATCTAATTGGCTGGCTAAGCCTGGTAATAAACATCTTTGTTTAAGCTAAGGGTGGATTGAACTTTATATTTTCCTTGGACAGGCTGACCTTTGATAACTACAAAAACAGTTTTCTGCAGATGTTGTGTTTGATGTTTGCTTATCAAACTGTTGCATCCAGTAATTTAGAGATATTATTTTTCATAAATATTTCAGACCTTAAAATTCGCTCTGAACCTGTGAGTTTTCTTTATCACCCAGTTGAAGCCATTAAAGGAGCTACCACCTTTACCTTTTCACTTTTCTATTATAGAAAGTATTCTCTGATTGGTGTTGCTTTGTGTTTTGGTGTGCATGCTCTGACTTCTAACCCCCCCCTGTAAGTTGAGGCAGATGGCTGTTCACTTTGTCCCTGGTTCTGCTGGAGGCCTCTTCCTGTTAAAGGGTGTAGTTTCCTTTCCACTGTCACTGTATTCATGCTTGCTTCTGTATGATGAATTACTACATCATTACATTGTGGTAATGTAATTGACTGCATACTGTCTAAATAAACAGAAATTAATTGAATTGTGTTTTATCTCATTATTTCCATTGGAGGAGTTAATTTGCTTCCGTTGGTAAAACCTTAGCCTTTCCCAGGTGACAAAAAACATACAAATCCATTTAGACATACTGTTAGGAATCCAGTTTGTGTGGGTTGTGTTTTTGCGTTTTCTCCTTCCACTACCAGGTGGCGCCATGTTCTCGTAGGCCCTTCCACACACCTGCGGATGGTTGCCTCATTATCTGAGGACTCTTAACCTGCTGACTGCCACTACCTCGACGCCAGAGTGTTTGCAAGTTTTGGGTAATCTAGCCAAGCTGAGTTTAGCAGAGTCTAACTGAGTCTTTGTCTTCCTGAGCCCTAACCTTATTGTTTTTGTCTTTGCCTCTCGGCAGGTAGTCATCCTGCAAACTGGATGTTTTGGCCCTCTCCCCCTGGAAGGATCATTTGAGCTTCATACTGAGCAGGGGATGCAAACTGGATGTTTGGACCTTCTCCCCCTGAAAGGATTGTTTGAGCTTCACACAGAGCAGGGGACAAATTTCCACACGAACCGTTCAAGTACTTCAGGAAATTGAAGTGGCAGTCAGCTCCATCGCTCCTCTGAACCAACCAAACCCGAGTAAACCCTGTCCGCCCTCCAACGAGCCAACCAAGTTCTGGAATAACCCATACCGACTGGATTCCGGTAAGGACACCTTTTCCTTGGAAACGTGAGTCCCGTTTCAGTCTCTGTTTTTGCAAGTCGTCCCTCAAGTTTCCCACTGAACCTGAACTAAACACTAAACTTCCCTTCTCACTTCCAGTTCCGGTTCACCAGCGTTCTGAGAAACTCTGGATCCAACTCATCGTGCTTTCAATAAACCTGCTAAACCTTTTCTCTGGTTCTCTGAGTGGTTTCCTGCATGTGGGTCAGATCCCTTAAAAAGAACATGACACATACATAAAAAAGCCTTTTAATTTAAAAGAATACATTTTTCTTAATCAAAAACAATCTGATTAGGATAACTATGCACCAATTTAGTGTGTTACTATTACTCTTTAGCCTGGCCAGCCTGATAAGGCTCAGACTCTCTGGTCTAATATTGTACAGACTTGACCTATCACAGCATCTGGAAGGAAGGCTAATAATGAAAAAGCATTTTATAGCATTTGCTATAAACAGCAATGTTTTGTTAATACCCTATTTTGATTTCCTGTATGAGCCGACAAATGTTTTCAAAAACTAGCTACTGTGAGAGCGTTTCTTAAAAAAAAAAAAAAAGTAGAAAAGGCGTATCTATAGTTATCTGATTAGTTTGAAACTTGTTTTGCTTACTCTGTTAGTCCTGTCCTTGAAATCAGGCTTTGCCTGCTTTTGTCCAGACTGATATGCCATGTATACAGCATAGGTCAGTCTGGGTGACCAGGCTACTACTCTCAGCCTGTCCTTACTGAATTCCTTACTTTATCTCTGGCGAATTTCCAGAGAAAACATTTGACTCCTTCTCTGTATTATGGTGTAGATATTCACGTCTCAAATCTGGTAATCAGATGAATGCTGCATTGTAGACCATTTCTCACTACTCACACTTAATTCAGCCTCTGCCTAATATTCACCATCAAATCTGTGTAGAACCATAATTTGCTCAAGACAAACATTAATCTTTCCCTCCGATTCTCACTTTGAGATAAAACACACAAACCTAAAATACATTAACTGCAGAGAAAGACCTAACCATAACCTAACCATAATACCCTGTTTTATATTAATAAACCTACTGTCTACTTTTCAAAGACTAACAGAAAAAAGCTTCAATTCTGCATTTCACACCAAGTGAGACTTAAACCCTAACCCTGAGGCTAGTCTTAACTCCTGCCCAGATTCTCCCATAAATCCTCTAATAATCTACATTAATCATCTAATATCAACGTACTTACATCTGTATCAGCTATATGCTAACGGCTTTGGGAAACCTTTCAGTGATTTTAGTTTGGAATTGATATTAGATGACCAAAATCCTATCCTTCCACGTAGACGCAACCATCACAGCAGCTTCATTCATATTCAGTCATGAAGTTCATTTGAAAACCAACACATTCCCCATAGAATGCCATTTAACAAGAAACCATATACTTCAGAAATAGCAGGGGATTTAAAGAGGTTGTTGCATTGCAAACAAATTTGTTTCTGCAGTTCAAGAATCAACTCCCATACTGATAGGCAAAACACAGATCCCCTTAACATGTTTTTTTGAGTGTTCAAACACCAACCTGATTTCATCTTAGCATACTGTACTGTATGTACTGCAGGAGAATGAGGAACCCTAAAGTGTGAGCCACTGCTGTTTTACAGGTGATATCAGCCATATTAAGAAGGCATCTTTCAAATATGCACATTTTATTATACTGTAATAAAAAGGTGACATTCTTCATGCTAAGAGAAATTCTCTGTATGAAAGATCAGTTGAGAAGTTTCTACTTCCATCTGGAACCACAACTCGTATCAACACCAGTTTGTTTTTTTAATTGGTGTGCCCATATAGACATTTTTTTTCTTGGGGAATTTTGTTAATTTTGTCTCCCAGTGTTTGCTTTACCTTATTTTGCTTTTACAGATGGAACTCGTATTCAAACAAAGAAAATATAAATTGTTGAGAACCAAAGCTGTGACAAAAATAAGTGTAGGCATCCACATGGGGGTGCTGTAGAGCAGTTAGAAAGATGTTCAAAAAAAAATTTTAAAGCCAAAAAAAGAATAAATAATATATTATAAAACCCTCTTCATATATTTTAAATTGATAGAAAAAAAGAGTCATATACTAATTTATTATTGTTGCACTGGATGCCACACAATATGTTACAAAGGTTGAAACAAACAAGCAAAAGTGAATTATATAATTCTTTACAAGTTTATAAAAACACACTCAAGCACATAAAGTTAAGCCCAAACTATGACAAACTACAGATTTAGGCAAGAGTGTTTATCTAAGTCTGAGAAAATTTATGCTGGGGGCTAAAATATAGACTAGGAAGATAGCAGGGAGGCAACACTTGAAGCTCATCCCAAAAGATGAGCTTGAGAAAATCCTGCATGCATTAAGCAATTTAACTGATATAACAAGTTTCTAATTGCTGAAATGTTAATAAATATTTTTTGTTGATTATTTAGAATGCGGACGGTGTGCTTCGGCACTCATGATTTACAGCATGATATCAGGAAAACTTTACTCAAGGGTAGAACACGATCTCAGTCCTTTTTCAGAAAGGTAGAACCATTACAAAAATACCATGTGGCTGACTTCAATCTATTATTTTAAATAATTGTACGTATTCAGAATGTATTAAATGGTTTATTAGTTTATTCTCTTTCTTGTGTTTTTTCTTTCAAAACTTTTAAAATATGTTACATAACTTTAAGAGCCTTTAACTTTTCAAGCTTTTACGCAGACCTAAAAATATGTCCTTACAAACCAGGCATAAAGCTTGAGCCTTAATGTGTAAACTGGCTGAATACGTGCACTCTTATATTATGTCATATGGAGGCAGTCAGTCATTTACACCACTCACTGTGTGCACTATGATCCTCTGTATCAGACCAGTAACATCTGGTGTTAAAGCACATGTTAATGATTACACAGCCTGCTACAGACATCATCTGTTAACAGATAAAATAAGCCTTGCTAAAACTGATGCTATTTATCAGACATTTTGTTTGTTGCATAAATTAATCTCAGATTAAAAACAATTTTAAAAACACAAATACTTTTGTTCCCCGTGGTGGAAAAAAATAACCAAAAGCTTGAGTTCCTCCTACTGGAAAAGTACAGAGGATATTACCAGCTGGCTGCAAAATGTTTAACCCCAATTGATGCAGGGAGTAGCTTTTCAATCCTTAATCTTATCAAACATGTGAGGCTGTTGTTTAAGGAATTATTGGGCAATTGCTGACAACTTTAGTATTCATTAGGGATAAATTGGGAAATACTGGTTCTGGAACCGCAAGACTCTTTTTAACACATTTGCTTATCTTAGTTTCTTTAAGAATATGGATTAAAGCTCACATCACCGTTTAACCTTTTGAATCATGATACAAAATTGTGATGAAAACACAAAGAGTGTTTTATGAGGCAAGTTTAAGTTTTTTAAAACAATACTTTAGGAAATTAAAAAGCATTAATTAAACTGAATGTAATCCAAACAACATTAGAGTCAGCACTTTGGTTGCCGGCCTATATCAATAAATGCCTTCAAATGTAAAAAAAAAAAAAAAAAACTTAAAAAATTGCATTGAATTCTTTCTCAACACTGAGAAATTCATACCGTCCAATGCTACAATAGCACAATAAAATGTATGATTGTTAATGAGTTATGACACCCCCATATTTAATCGTTTGCTCAGGTATGAAGTATTATGTTCTTCTGGCCTTGTGAGCAGGTAATACTGTGGGGAGATTAAACAAGCTGTTTACATTTAAGCTATTTCTTTGTAAGAAGTCTAAAAAGAGGTCGGCATATAAATCATTTGCAGACATGAGAAGATTTTAATTTCAACAAAAAACATAAAGGCTAGACTTAAATTTGCCTTTGAAAATTGTTCTTTGGAAGGATGACTGCAGGCCTGCATTGATTGTACACCAAAACTGAAAATCTGTATGCCATAAAAACAAATAACAATTCCTGCAGATTAACCTTGAGGTATGGAGGAGGAAGTGTCATGGTCTCGCAATGCTTTGCTAAAACTGGACCTGGCCAGCTCAACAATACGGACTTTACTGTATAATTCTGCTCTACATAAGGGGAGTTTAATACAATTCTGAGAAGGTGAACAAAATAAAGTTAATGCAAGTAAATCTACCAAGAATTGGCTAAAAAAAAAAAAAAAAGTAACTCCTGGACTTGATGGCAACCTACTTCTTGGTATATTGCTGCAAAAAGTGAGTTGTAGAGCAAAATATTCTCAGTGGGATGTTGGAGAGAAAGCTTTAAAAAGACACCTCTCCTAAGTAATTTCAACCAAAAGGTAGGCTCACATAGTCCTAACTTGTTTCTCAGCTACATATTTGTATTTATACAGTCAATACATTGATTGAAGCAAGATCATTTTACTGGTTAATATGTTTTGTTTTATAGAAATAAAAGGCCAGATTAGACATTGATCAATGAAACTTCCATGTTTCTTAATTTCACGTGACACTAAACTAAGTTTTTTAAACATTACAACTTTGTAGTACCAAAATCTTCTGATGTGATCAACTCAAACTCAGATAACCAATGTGTTTGTCATCCATACTTTGATTGGTCATCTTAGGAGAATAAAAGACTCAAACGAGCATGATCTAATCTTCTTAAGTATCAATGAAGCTTATAACGGCTGAAACACAGACCGTCATGGCAGTAATCAAACTGGAAGTGGAAATAATGCAAACAGTTTAATATCCTTTGGGTCTATTTCAGATTTCCTTTAATCAATGGATTGATTAAATTACTTAACATGGTTGTAACTGGTTTACCATGGATAAAAATGATGAAAAATGACTGGGAAATTCCTGAAAGTGATGCTGACTTCAAGGTTTTCTTTTTTTTCACAAGAGTTAGTATGCATTATCATAGCTTATATGCCTGAACTCTTGGTGTTTCCTAAATGTTTGTTTTTAAGAATAATTTAAAACCACAAAAACATGTTTTTCCTGTTCTCCAGCAGAATTTACAGAAACCATTTTGTCTTTCAAGCTTATTACGTTAGTTTTGGGGACATTACTTAATCTTTTTTTTTTTTTTTAAGAGAAGCAACACACTGTTGGTGATTTCAACAGTGCACACCGCAAAGGATGACTTAATTGGATACATCTTTTCTCTAATTTTGCAAATAAACCACCAACACAGGAGCTTTATTTAGTTTAAACTGGTTATGTAATACAGCAGCAGCAGCAGCACTGCAAGACCAAATATTGAATGTCTCCCTCTAGAGTTGCAGTCCTTAAATGCAGAAATACAGAACTATACATACAGTTATACTATTTTAAGTTATTTCCAAAAATACAGTTAGCAAACACTGGTTCACATTAGAAGGCAACATATTTATTTGTTCTTCTGCAAATACTGCCCCACAAAATGTATTTAGCTTCTTACTACCCAGGTGAGTTAGAGGTTTATCTTTAAGATAGTAAAACAAACATCCAAGATGATACAGTTTTAGCAGAACTTTCCATAAAGGCAGGTTTTGCTCAACAGTCTGTTTTAACACGGTCCAACCGCAGTCTTAAGGCTACTTAGCAATATTTAGAGTACAGTCATGTGGATTTCTTGGGAGTATTTAAAAGTGAGGAATGCTGTTTAGAAACAAGTACCACAGCTGTACCTTTTTCACAGTAGCTTGGAGTAGCTGGGTATATACCGTATGATCAATACTCTGGAGCTTTAGATTAGTTTAGCAAATCCAATCACTTGGTGAAGGGTCGTAGTGGGTCAAACAGCCTTTAAGAGGTTTTTGATACAGGATAAAATCTTGCACAGCTGGTTTAATGCTCTTACAGGACTTGGAAATGGAAATGTTTTGATTCCGACTCCGGCCCACCCAGGGACCAGTCCATTCTACCCCACTGAGAGCTCAACCCTATAACTTTGGCACTGAGCTGAAGACTTGAAGAGGGACACCACGTCTCACTCAGTAAAGGAGAAAAGGAGGTTATTTTGTCTAGAGAGAAAAATGGGAGACTATGATGTGGAGACTGCGTTTCTTGGACAAATGGGTCCCTACTTCTGGGTCACTTTCTTCCTTTTGAACACAGTTTTCGTGTCAACTGGATTCAACGGACTATACATAATCTTTGCAGGGGCAGCCCCAAAACACAGTTGTCTCATTCCAGACGTCAACCTGACAGAGGAGTGGAGAAATGCCATCATACCATTTATAATAATGGGTGGTGAAGAAGTTCAGAGCCAGTGCAGCAGATATAATCTGACTGTGGTTAAAGATTTTTCTGATGAGGGTTATATACCTGGAAGGGATATTAATCTTACCACACTGCCTCAAGAAGGATGTTTGGATGGATGGAACTACAGCAAAGACATCTACCAGTCCACAATAGTCACTGAGGTCAGTATGGAAGAGCATTTTTATTTTTTCTTCCTCTTACTGCTGTTCTTCATTGTTGTTGTTTTTTTCATGGCAAATCCAAATTTCTGTCTTAACAGTGGAATCTTGTTTGTGAGAACCATTGGAAAGTTCCTTTTGCTTCCTCAACTCTCTTTGTGGGATATCTTTTTGGATCGCTTATCTCAGGACAGCTTTCTGACAGGTATTTCATCCTTAATCACACTTTAATAAATCTGTTAAACTACTTTTTCATGCTATATCGGCCCATTTATGTAATGCATTATTCTCTGTGTGCATAATTCGGTCTAAAAGAACTGACAGAAAACTGTTGCAACATTTAGCCCCATTCACAATTTTGACATGTAGTGAATGTTGCTGAGGAGCTCTCATCAACTGCTGACAAAGACAATAGCGCCATCTCCTGTTATAGTGAATGCATACACAAGCAGGTCATTTACAGTTCTGTGAATTGGATCGTTTTCATATTTCCACTTCATCTCGATTTTTGTTCTTCTCGATTTGACCATGTTTTTTTTTTTCCTTTTATTGGAGGATATATGTTAAGTCTTTTAGGCAGCATATCTGTAAGATATTTTATTTTTTGATATTTTTTTGCTCTGTATAAGAACATAGGGAAAGGTGATTTATTTTAATAATTAAAATAAAAAGGGAAACATAGTGATTCTGCATTAATGTTTACAAAAAATTGTATATTTCAAGGGTTGGTGTTAATTTTGATGATTGTTACAGCTAAAGTAAATCCAAAAGTCCAATTTTAAACCATTTACAGCACTGACCTGACAGAGAGGTCAACAGTAGATTTTATCATAACTAAATGCAAAGGAATCATTGAAAACAACTAAATTAATATTTAATATCTAGTTAATTTTTGTATTCCAGGCAGTTAACCATTTCCCATGTTCAGTTGTTGACACCACAATGTTTATTTAAATCTCAGGCTTTCTTCAGCAGTTCTATATTTTGAAGATTTTGTAGCTACATGGTCATTTTAACAGTTTGTCACCTTTGGTAGACTAGGCAGGTACCAACTACTGTTTTAATAAACACAACAGGATTCCACCAGTGCTAACTGTGGTGCTAACTGTGGTTTTAATCAAATAGATTCTAGCAACACCAGCAGATGGAAGAGCTACCTAATCTGTTAATGAGAATAGAAACGTCAAACTGGAGTTTAAACAATCTGAATTCTGTGTCCCTACCCCTTTTCTCCAGTTTGTCATTATAATTTTTAAATGACGTGCAAAATTTTACTACATTGCTTCAAATATCTTGTTTGCATGATTTTGGCTTAGAACAAAAAAATAGAAATATAATGATATTTGTGTGGGTGTTTTTGTACTGCAGCACACATTTTGTCCAGATTTTAAGCCACACGTTTTTAAACACTCCAAAATCTTCAATTATATTGATTGCAGATAGTGGTCACAACTTTAGAAACAACTTTTATGCCAACAGCCCTAATTGGTCATGTGAGCCCTAGCATTAGCAATTCTACATAAAATAAAAAAAACTGGAGGTTTTATTGGTCTAATGTGATTTTTAAAACAAAAGAAATAAAATGCAGTTGTATGGCTCAAAAAACTTTTTTTTTTTTTTTTTTTTTTTTTTTTTTTACATTTTCAGTCGTTAACACTTACCTGTATATAATTTGCATTATCTTTTCAGGTTTGGGAGGAAAAAAGTTCTTTTCATGTCCCTTGCGGCTCAGTCCTTCTGCGTTTTGCTTCAGTCATTCTCTCAGTCTTGGAGAATTTTCTGTGTCATGTTCCTCTTTGTTGGAGCCTCTCAGATATCCATCTACATTTCTGGATTTGTACTGGGTAAGTTCACCCTGTCCTTTTGAAATGATCTAAAAGCAACCAGTATACAGTAGGAATTATATTAAAAATAAATAACAGTACTAAAAGAAATGAAGTAGTAACATTTACAGGTCATTAATATGTGCAGTTTGTGTTTTTTATTTCTTTGACAGGTACAGAGTTGTTGAGTAAAACCATGCGAGTTCTCTTTACAACTCTTGGGGCTTTCCTTTTTTACTGCATCGGCTACATGACACTACCTTGGATTGCATATGGCATCAGAGACTGGAGAGCTCTCTTAGCAGTTTTGTCAGCAACATCTGTGGTTTACATCCCTTTGTGGTGGTATGTATGTCATTGGACCCACTGATTTCTTAGCAAAGTAAATGTGTAAATGTTATGTACAAGCATTTTTTTTGTTTGCACAGGTTCATCCCAGAATCACCTCGATGGCTGCTCATTCAAGGAAGAAAGACAGAGGCAGAGGCCATTGTGAGAGATGCTGCCAGGAGAAACAAAGTGCAGGCACCATCTGTACTTTTTAAAGAATCTGAGGTGAGAGTTGTATCTTTATTGCTGTGTAATTCAATTGGTTCACACATTTTTAATGTTGATGATCAATTCTGTGTTATTTGAAGAAATGTAGAGAAAACCATTTCAATTATGTGTTTTATTTACCTCAATCCGTCTATAGCAAGGACCTTCAACCCCAGTCCTGGAGGGTCACAGTCCTGCAGCCTTTGGATGCATTCATGATCCTACTAAACTGAGCTAAAAAGCTAATTTACCTCATTGGCATTTCAATAGGCTTTTAGAAAAGCCTGTTAATTTGGAGTTAACCTGATTTAGGCTTGTTCGAACAGTGATGCATCCAAACGTTGTAGAAAAGTAGCATTCAGGGACTGGAGTTGCTGAACCCTGTGTTAGGCCTTTTTCTGAGATATGTTCCACTGAAAGAAAATTGTTAAAAACTGTACAGATGGAGGACATTGTAACTGCTAATTTCACTTAAAAGCACTCCTCTCTGGCTGAGTGATAACGATGATTGAATTAACAGACTTGATCTGATTGTTTTTTCGACTAAATCACTCCAGTTTCCTTTATAGATTTATTCTTGTCTGCTAGTCTAAGTTAGACCTAAGTTTCAATGGTTTTTCACCATATAACTCTGTTTCTGAGATAAAACACAAAAAGTAACTTCCTTTTAATCTTGAATTTCCAATAATCAGTTAACTTAAAGAGGTATTATGGGGATTTCTAATGATACTGCCACCTGTGGCCAAAAAGAGAACTGCATCACTCTTCTGTTCATTCTCATAGCACGTGCATGTACTTAACAACTTCTTGCTTGTTTGTTTTTTATGTTTTCCACCTTACCTTTAGTTGCCATTGGTTTCTGAGTTAAACTGGATGCCAGTCCCTTCTAAGTTTCCACAAAATCCATTTTGTATATAAAGTTTCGATTGTTTGCCTGGTCGGACCCTTTTAGCATGGGCCCCCATGACATCACGCTGCCAAACAGGACGGGATCCTCTGACCCGAAGTAAATTAAGGAAAATAGGCCACAGGCATATAGATGCATCGGCTCTGAACCATTGAGGTGTAAGTCTGCTCATCAAATGATGTAAAGGGTCACATAAAAAGGCTTTTTTTAAATATATTTTTTCAGTAAAAGCTTAAATACTGTAGGTGAAATATAATTAGAAAAGTATTTGCTAGAGTTGTAGTCAATGCCCAGACCTTTTATGGCCTCTAAAGGTCCTTGGTTTCTGTTGGTGTGGTCTTGACTACAACACTAGTATTTGTTTTACATTCTTAGGTTTACTTAATCATCATCCTTCATAAGACACTGAATAAATACACTGTTCCAAGCCGAGAATGGTTTCATTTTATAATGATGCACCCACAGACAACAAAGTGCTGTATTTTGCTGTTGGTTTTTGGGATAGACCATTGAAAAGATGTACTTGTTAAGTTAAATTAAAAGTGGCTTTAAAGCTCTTTACAAGAAAACGTTGAAAAATGTGGCCTGTTTAGGGTAAGAGTTCGGTCTCCTTGCTCAAACACCCCCGAAATGAAAACCAGAGCAACCCAGTTATTTCTAAAGCCACCAAACAAGTACATAGAGTCCACCTTATTCATCTCAGTTCTGTTGGTGGTCAGGGGGCCTGTTGGTGCCTCACTTCTGTCAGTCTGCCCGAGGGCAACTATGGCAACAGTGTAGCTTACATACATGTACCACACTGTAGCCACATCAGCGTGTGAAAACCCATGTGAACAGGTGAATCATTGGATAAAGTGTGAATGGTTTTTAGTCCTCTTACTTTATTAAGTGCTACACAAATACTGTCTGTTTAACAATTAACCACAAAAAAAGGCTGTGGCTGTTAAAGTGTTAGAGGTCTATTAAAGGACATTGGAGAAGGAACAGCATCCTGTGGAACAAAGGATTACAACCATGAGGACGGGGACAATGTTGTAGAGAGTTAAGAAAAAATAATTGGGTTTAGAAAATTTACATCTTTAAATATTTTAGTAATTTCAGGTATAAGACTTTAAACCGAGATCTACTTATATACCAACATTTAGATCTCACAACTTAAGTTTTGCTCTATCTCTACATTTATACTTGCGCTTAAGTTGTGCAGAGGACATGCTGTGCCTGAGACAACTGTAGTGTAGACTTGCATGGATTCCTTGACGGAATAATAATAAATTGATCAATTAACTTGTTACCTTTAAATTTATGTTAGGTAAGACCAAACTTAAAGGAATAGTACACCCAAAACATGATTAGCCTTCATTTTCTACTCACCCCCATGCTGAACAAAACTCTGGAGTACTTTTTTGATATCTCAAATGCATCTGGAGATCTGGGAGGCTTCTTGCTGTCTGCTGACATTCAAATAATGGAGGTCTATGGTGACCGAGACAGAAAGGTCCATAAAAGTCCACAAAAACGTGTCAATATTCCTCCATACTGCTCGTCCAATGTAATCCAAGTGTCCTGAGTGGGTAGCATCTAGAATTTACTCGAAACGAAGTCATTTAGAACGTTTTAGAGCCTAAACAGTAGTGTATAGGATTTCCTAATAGCGCCCCCATGCGCGCTCACGATTCTATGGAAGCCGGCAGACCAAACCGGAAGAAAGTGCGCATTCAGCGTCTGCTCTGCCGATAATGCAAGCGTAGAAGAAGAAATGTGCTGTTTACCTGTGCAAAGAAAGAAACAACGAAAGAAAAATGTCTGAGGACTTCAGTGTTGAGGAAGAGCATGAGTTCTTTGCCGAGCTGAATGCGCTGGTTTGGTCTGCCGGCTTCCGTAGAATCGTGAGCGCGCATGGGGGCGCTATTAGGAAATCCTATACACTACTGTTTAGGCTCTAAAACGTTCTAAATGACTTTGTTTCGAGTAAATTCTGGATGCTACCCACTCAGGACACTTGGATTACATTGGACGAGCAGTATGGAGGAATATTGACACGTTTTTGTGGACTTTTATGGACCTTTCTGTCTCGGGCGCCATAGACCTCCATTATTTGAATGTCAGCAGACAGCAAGAAGCCTCCCAGATCTCCAGATGCATTTGAGATATCAAAAAAGTACTCCAGAGTGTTGTTCAGCATGGGGGTGAGTAGAAAATGAAGGCTAATCATGTTTTGGGTGTACTATTATTTTAAGTCTCAACCTACATTCAAAAAGGTGTGTGGAATCTTTACAGTGAATCCTCGTAAAGGCAGCGTCATTCTATGAGGATTATTTTCTTTAGCAGTGACAATGAATGAGGTAAATGTCACAGTAAGATGGTAGATATAACTACAGGACAAATAAAAAAAACAAGATCTGTTGAAAAATAGCAAAAAATTCCATCACAAAGACAAACATACAACCAGATCTTCAATTTTTTTGTGTAGACAAAGGCACATTTGTGTATAAATGGCCTATCAACATTTTTGGGACATAAAAATAATGTTCAAATACAGTATATACAAAGTTATTCTTACCTAAATGAATGAACAACATTTGTGTCTATATTTATAAAGCCCATAAAGCAAAATAAATGCCCCTTAACTGCTTTAAAAGGAAGTTCAGCAAAGTTTTTCCTTTTAAATTCCGAATTGATTTCTAAATTACACAAATCATTGTCGTTCAGCTATAAAGCTATCACTGCTTTGTTTGTATTGCATGGAGTTGCATTAAGACATATTGAAGTGTTGGTGGTGGGATTACATATTAAATTTAACTCTTATATTTGTTAACCCTTGAACTAAAAATAGACTTGTGTGACATTTTTTTCTTTTTTTGTGTGTGTGTCTTTAAATGTAACTTATATTCCAGGTTGAGAAAATTCCTGCTGGGAAGAAATACACAATGCTTGATGTTCTTAGGTCCAGCAAAGTCAGATGCATCACAATGATGTGTCTCCTTTTATGGTAAGCAACAGTTTTAAATGCAGGTTTTAGATAGAATGAAACCATTTTACAGCTTAGTTCATATAAATATATGCATAAAGAGATAAGATATAGACATAGAAATGACTTGCTGTCTCTTTTGATGTCTTAGACACTCAATCTTTGGTGAAAAGTTCCCCCCTAACAGACTTGTTGTCTTTTCAGGATGGCAATTAACATCGGATATTTTGGCTTATCCCTGAATACTTCCAACCTGAGTGGCAACCCTTATATGAATTGCTTTATATCAGCCATCACTGAAGTACCCGCCTATATTGTCTCTACTTGTCTGCTGAGGAAATGTCCACGACGAGCAATTCTATCGACGTTCCTTATCATCGGAGGAGGAGTTCTTCTGCTCATACAATTTATTCCTGATAGTAAGGCGCTATATTTCTGATTATAATATCAAATAGAGAAAACATCAGTAGCCCTAATGGGAATCCATACGCTGTTTTTTGTTCTAAATTAGAAAATAATTCAAAATCATTTAACATGTATCCAGTATTTAGTCTTTTAAAAGGAGAAACATAAATAAAACTACCTATATAGGAATTATTTTTTTATATACTCACTTGACAGGCTTTATAGTCATTTACTTCAGATTACTAAATCATGTTAAAGCTCATAATGCCTGTCCGAGCTGTTTATTAGGTAAAGCCCAGTAAAGTTGAGCTGGTTATGTACACATGCAGAACTCTCAGCTTTATCAGGTGAAATACTCAGACATTGCACATCAGTGTTGCAACTGGTATCTGAGCTGCTGACTGTGCAAAGAGTTTACCACAGGGTGGAAAACGTGACCATTGTGCATGCCACATGTGAGGTGACTTAAGTTTAAGTAAAGTAGCAATAAGGTAACACATTATCTGTTTTTTTGTTGTTTTTTTAAAACAATATCATACATGCATATATATTCTAAAAGCATGTTGTGTCAGGCATGAAACCAGAAAAGCAAAATTTTCTTTTACATGTTAAAGCAAACTGAAGCTTAACAATAAACCAGACCATTACATTTAACAGGACTGTAATGCTAAGTGGCAGTAAATGTCTTGCTATAATGCTCAATGACACCCAACCTGTCATTTGGCAGGACTTGCACCTCAGTATTATCATGTTGTCGTCTTTCTTTATCTTTAGATCTTGCCTTGTAGAGACATATCAGCAGCTTGTTATTTTTTATCTGCTTTTGGTCTGAAGCCTCATGTTGGCATGTTTGTGTTGCTAAAAGAACCTCAGACTCCTTACTGCTTTTATTTATTTATTTTTTCTTATTCTTTTTTAGCACTCCATTATGTTGCTCTGGCACTGGAAATGACCGGCAAGTTTGGCTTCACTATGGCTTTCACCATTGTTTACATCTACACTGCTGAGATCTATCCCACCGTACTGAGGAATGTAGGCATGGGAATGTGCTCCTCAGCTGCTCGTATTGGCAGTATCACAGCTCCTTACGTCATCTATTTAGGTACTTCCTATCTCTGTTGGTCACAAAGCCATTATATGCACAGATATCATAAAAATGCAAAAAGCATCTACAAAGAATACTTGAAGCAAAAGTTCCCCTTAGAGAGGAATACTAGTTTATTATTATACGTGACTTTTATTTCTTATTTTACAGGCACATATAATAAGGTTTTACCTTACATTTTAATGGGCAGCCTCACCATCGCCTCTTCTGTGGTTAACTTCTTCCTACCAGAGACCTTCAACAAAGATCTCCCAGAAACAGTGGAGCAGATGCAGGAATGCCGGGGGTATTTATTGGTTGTTCATTCATTTTTGGATTTTAACAAGAACTACAAGCATTCATACGAATAAAGAATTTTAAAGCATCTCTTTTACATAGGAATTTCCTCTAAATATAATGTTGAATATAAGAAAAAAAAATGATATAAAAACATATTGGATAAAACCATTTTAAAAATGAATATTGACGGGTGAAAAATACGACAAATGGTAGTTTTTATTATTGTAAATGTTTCTATGAGATGCAATACGAACCATTCTAATTTAAAGTTATATCATAGCCTATCCTTGTAATGGACCAGATTTCAGATATCACTTCAAACAGCTCTACTTTGAGATAAGACGACTATATATGTGACGACTATATAGTGACCTAAATTTTTCAAAGGACAAAAAAAATAATTAATCAGATTTTCAGTTAGCTGTTTAGAACTGGTTTGAAAAACCAGAGTTCATTTTAAAAGTATTTTCTATCAAATTAAAACTCTGTATAAATTAATTTGATGTGCCCTTCACAATTTGAGATTGGATGATCCTGTGGCTATACAATATATCTATAATTTACAACACTTGAGGTAACTAGAGGCACACTGTGCTGACATGCTACAGTACTTCTTTGTGTGACGTTCAAGTATAACTGAAATTCAAGGATATATCAAAATAACAAGAGAAAAAATCAAGAGGTTCCGAGAAGTGATTTATCCTTTGGTAAATTTCTCAAAACAAAACAATGTTAATCTTTTTAAACAAGATTATGGAAATGTCAAACCTTCCAAAAAGGATATAGACTCTGTATCAAGAATCAAAACCTGCACTCAAACACAAGGATAAATGCAGCAACCTTTGGAGACACATCATTAGGCTGATGAAAATAAAATAGTTTTGACATTCTAGTCATTTTTACTTTCAAATAAGAATAGGGAGCCTCACAAACAACTTCTCCAGACATCAACTAGGAAATACACCCATGAATGCAGATAACAACAAACAAAATCACACTTACAAATACTTTAAAAATGGGTAGAGGACAAAAAAAAAAACAGAGCGTTTGAAGTAACTATCATTTATCTCTGTGTAGGCAGAACAAACTAACTGTAAAGTACAGGACGTATGGGTCAAAACCCTTTCTAAAGGAACAGAGAGCAGTTTAGCAATGTTCCAAGGACATTTCTGAAACTTCTGAATTCAAAGCAATAATATGATTTTAAGTATTCTGGCAATAAGAAATAAGAAAGATTTTTTTGTAATCACCACTGACCTAAATAAGAAAAAGATGAGTTAAGACATTTGATGTTTGACAGTGAAAGAACAATCAGGACTGTTGTTCATTTTCTATTTTTTAAACACATTGCAGGTTCTGTGGACGGTCTGAAAAGAAGAAATATTTTGAAAACGGAGCATCACGTAAACGACCCATTCTACAGGAAGAAGCATCTGAAGTGCAAACACTCAGCCTTTAAACTTTTTTCATTCTAAGGATGGACATTTTTTTCCTGATCTAGACAGAGATCAGATGTTTTTTAGGCTAAGCTGATGGATATGACTATAAGACATTTTCTAATAATGTTACAAAATTCTAAGTGAATAAATTATTTTTATCCACTTTAACCGTGTGTTTGATTTGTCTACCCAGTTTTTTTTTAGTATAGGGGTTATATAAAGTTGTACAGAAGGCTAATTTTTCCTAAAAAGAGATTTTTTTATTTATTCCTCCAGGTTATAATTTTTTATTTTTTTGTACAGTTTAGTAAAAAATGTGATATATTATGAGGAAACATAACTAAACTATGGAGCATAATAATTACTCAAATTTAATCCTACACAATATATGCAGGATTGGCTAAATTACCATTTAACTCCAGTAGACAGAACGCAGACAGAAACTTCAGGGAATGGTTTAAAATTCTTGACAATTATGCAACGAGGCCTGATGTCTGCTCATAGGTTTTTAGAATTTCTACTAAAGTAAATAACTAAAGTAGCAGAGCATGATTGCTTTGTTGTTTTCTACACTAAGTGAAATTCAAAAGTGTTTGAATTACATGTTAACTGAGGAGTGGGAACCCTGTAAGATAACTATACAGATGATGCACAGCTCTACATTACAATGTCACCCAGAGCTACAATAAGACATTAATATAACCCCATCTTTATATAAGGAAAATTGTCACCACACTCACATAAGTGCAGTAAGTGTTCATAAATGAATAAATAAGATACCTATAAGTCAGTCTGCTTGAAGCCTGTTCTCAATACAAATATGAAGTAGAATGGATGTTATTATAAAATGAGGAATCGTGATTTGAGCCTGCCAACTTAACACTAAATTTATGAGACATGTTTGCACTTAACAAATAGGTTCACAGCTTTGAAAGTGTTTTCTATTTATAAAAGCAAATAAGATATTTCCAAATTGTGCCCCTAGAGCTTTATGAGTGCAGTCAGCTCAGATTAAATTTGGAAATTGGCTCCTTGATTCCAGCTGTAATTTGATGTGGATCTATTTAAGCAAAGTTTCAGGGAATGATATATATCAAAGCAACATACTGATGACATATAGAGAACTCATGGGGACTGTTAATTACCAAACCTGTCAATCTGCACCTTCTAAAAAAAACTACAGTTGCACATAAGAGTTTTTAGAAGTTGAACTGTCCTGACAGGTGACGCACAGTTCCCTAGTGACAATCTAGCTAAAACCAAATAAACTACCATCCAGTATCCTTATCTATACTTTGTCCACCTGTTACATCAAAGGAATTAATATACTTATACACAATTTTTTTTCCCCAGTTAAAGTTGAAGTACCATTTTTAAATTCCAGGTGGTTTTTATGTAGCCTGACGTAGTCCGACTCAATTCTAGTCAGAATATGAGTCTGATACTGCTCCATAGAGCTGGGATTATGGGGCGTGTTTTGAACGAACCAGGAAAAAAAATGCCTCTGCACTCAATTGGAT